TCGCTTTCTGTCTCTCTGTCTAATCTGGCGTGCGCATGCACCCTATAGCAAAACTTCTCAAAAAAACCCAAAAAAAACAAAACAAACAGAAAAAAAAACCTAGACCATCTGTCTCCACCGAGCCACTCTGTACTTAGTTAGGATGCCAGGACTTATGGAGGAGGAAGGACTAAGTAGACAGCGGTTTTGGTTTTTGCTGCCTTTTTTTTTTTTTTTTAGAGAGAGATTTTTGCTTTGGGTGTATGTGCTTGCCAGAGAGACAGAGAAACATAAAGTGAAAAATCACCCCCCGAGGGAATGACCATACTGCAGTCCTTTCTCCTCCATTTTCCTCTCGAGGTCTTGGGTATATACACGCCTGGTCTGAGTCTTAAGCTGCTAGTTTTGGAATTCAAACTGCATTCAACCCAGTAGGAGTCGGTGATGCAACCATTACATGTGCCAGTTCCTCTTTTTTTCTTTTTACCAGAGAGAGACCTAGATAGAGAGAGGGGAGAAAGCACCTTTCATGGGGAGTGGTCATGGCACAATCCCTCCTCCCCCATCTCTCCCTGCTTTCAGGATTTTGGGCATGCTTGCACATGGACTGGTAGATTTTTCAAGCCACTGCTGGGTCAGCCATGTGAAATCCAGCTGCTTTAACCACCAGGCCATGAATTGTCCCAGGCTGTGATTTTTTACAACTCATTACAGAGAACCCTTTCTTTTTTTTATGATTTAAAAAAAATTATTTTATTTAACTTTATTTATTCATTTGTTTATTTATTTCAATTTGACTAGAGAGGGATAGCGTGAGAGAGAGAGAGCAAGCAAGCCGCCAGGTCCAGGACTTAAACCACAGTCAGCCATGTGGGAGTCCAATACCCTTAACCACCAAGCCACCTGCCAGCCTCAAGAGAACCCTTTCTTTAAATGAGTCATGTATCAACAGTTTTGCTTTCCTTGACTTTTTGTGTTTGCTGATTGTTAATCATGTGGTTTTATGCATGTTTCTTTTTCAGGGACCAATGGAGGAGTTACAATGGTGGGCCTTGCTTCCAGCCTCCTTGGTGGTACCTTTGTGGGCATTGCATATTTCCTCACGCAGTTGGTTTTTGTGAACGATCTAGACATTTCTGCTCCCCAGTGGCCAATTATTGCCTTTGGTGGTCTAGCTGGATTACTCGGATCAGTTGTAGACTCATACTTAGGGGCTACAATGCAGTTTACAGGTAGGAATATTCCCTTCTTAGTACAGTGTATTGGTGTATTCAAGAAATAGGGAAGAGGGCCAGCAGGTAGCGTGGTGGCTAATGTGATAGGATCCCACAAAGCCAACTGCATGGTTTGAGTACTGCACCTGGCAGCTTGAGAAACACGTGAGCTTGTGTGGCTGTGTGCCCAAAATTCTGACAGGAAGGAGAAATGGGAGGAAAAGGGATTACAGCATGGGCATTCCCCATCTGGAAGGATGCTTTCTTACTCCACCGCACTCTCCATGTCCCTCCGGCAAGCAGATGCACCTTCTGGCGAAATTTAAAAAAGAAAAAACAGAAAAGAAAAGAAAGAACTAGAGAAAAGGGGAAAAAAAAAAAAAAAAAAAGACATGACTCAAGAAGTAGGATATCTTCTAAATTGTATTTATTTTTTTACTCATGATAGAGCACATGCACATGACAAAGAAAGAGAGTGAGAGAGGAGCGTGCTCCCCAGGGGCTGGTCGTGCCCCGATGCCCTTCCTCCAGTTCTCAAGCCTGTTGACTCCTGGGCACTAGGGTGTATGCACAGTGTGTTGCCGCCGATTCAGCTGTGATTCCAGTAGTGGTTGTCATGGGGATCCGACTTCTCATGAGGC